TCTAGTATCTAGTATCTAGTATCTAGTATCTAGTATCTAGTATCTAGTATCTAGTATCTAGTATCTAGTATCTAGTATCTAGTATCTAGTATCTAGTATCTAGTATCTAGTATCTAGTATCTAGTATCTAGTATCTAGTATCTAGTATACTAGTATCTAGTATCTAGTATCTAGTATCTAGTATCTAGTATCTAGTATCTAGTATCTAGTATCTAGTATCTAGTATCTAGTATCTAGTATCTAGTATCTAGTATCTAGTATCTAGTATCTAGTATCTAGTATCTAGTATCTAGTATCTAGTATCTAGTATCTAGTATCTAGTATCTAGTATCTAGTATCTAGTATCTAGTATCTAGTATCTAGTATCTAGTATCTAGTATCTAGTATCTAGTATCTAGTATCTAGTATCTAGTATCTAGTATCTAGTATCTAGTATCTAGTATCTAGTATCTAGTATCTAGTATCTAGTATCTAGTATCTAGTATCTAGTATCTAGTATCTAGTATCTAGTATCTAGTATCTAGTATCTAGTATCTAGTATCTAGTATCTAGTATCTAGTATCTAGTATCTAGTATCTAGTATCTAGTATCTAGTATCTAGTATCTAGTATCTAGTATCTAGTATCTAGTATCTAGTATCTAGTATCTAGTATCTAGTATCTAGTATCTAGTATCTAGTATCTAGTATTTAGTATCTAGTATCTAGTATCTAGTATCTAGTATCTAGTATCTAGTATCTAGTATCTAGTATCTAGTGTCTCGTATCTAGTATCTAGTATCTGGTATCTAGTATCTGGTATCTAGCAGGATAACTACTAGTCGGTTCCACCCAATTGGAGCATTCATATTTTTTTTAGATTTTTATTCCTGCTGTTTTTATTGCTAATGAAACAGGCACACGAAATGTTGCTGCTGCAATTGTTGTTGTACTTGTTGTAGTTGATGTTGTAGTTGTTGTTGTAGTTGTTGCTGTTGTTGTTTTACCTGTTTGCTGTTTCTATGTAGACGCCAAATGGCAAACGCTGCGAGGGGGTTGATTGCTGGGTGGTGTTGCTGCTGTTGCTGCTGTCGCTGTTGCCGCTGTTGCTGCTGTTGCTGATGGCGATGATAATGATGTTGCCGTTGCTGTTGCTGACGATGATGATGATGATAACGCTGATGGGGTGGTTGCAAAGCAGTTCAAAAAGGAGTAACAATGAAATTATAGCAGAAACAGGAACAAATAGCATTTGGGAAAAACTCAAACTGCCAGACAGACAGCCAAAGTGGAGAGAAAAAGAGAGAATCAGAGAGACAGGCAGACAGAGGGGGAGGGAGAGAGAGAGAGATACAGCTCGTGCTTGTTTCCACTTTAATACATCATTGAAAGGAAAACAGAAAGAGCATGCCAAACACCTGGTACCCTTTACAATGGGCGCAGCAACAGCAGCAGCAGCAGCAGCAGGATCAACAGTTCCTTTTTTTCTCTCTCTCTCTGCTCTGTCTGCCTCTGTTGCTGTTGCTGTTTCTATTTCTGTTACAGCTGCCACTTCCGTGGCCCGTGCCACAAGCGAGCGTCACACTTCGCTTCGATACGTGAATGCGGCATTTTAGTGGCCAAAAAAGGAGTGTGAGTGCACTTTAACCGGGGCTGCTCGACTAGCAGTTATCCTGCACAATATTTGAGATTATTTCAATATATACTTATACATAGAATATGTATATCTAAATCTTAGATCCAGAATGACATTACATTATCAAAGTTGAAGCGATATAGGAGAGCTGCTCATTCTTTAGATTGATTCAAATTTGAAAATATTGCTGGAAAATAAATATAAATGTGATAGGGAGGGTTATTTTAACCCAAACTGTGTAAATTCAACGTACTCGCAGTTAAAACTAGTATTGAATGAGGACTGCTTTTATTCTGTATATATTAGAAGATGGTCTATATATGCAATGTATCAGCTCTAGTTTCTAAAACCTTTCAAATATGCTTAAATAACTAAAGTTCTATAAAGATTTAGACAACCAAAAAATCAAATCTGAAGCACTTATAGGATATTCGTATTACACATATTCAAACAGACACGCAAAACATTGCTGAATCGCCATATCTTAGTTATGCTGACTAAGAATATATAATATACATGGATACTTTATAGGGTCAGCTGAGCCTTGTACTGCCTGTTACATACATTTGCACAAAAACAATATGCCATGTTGACTCATCTTAAGGGGTGAGCGGGGGTCTGGCAGCTCGTTCTATTTCGCTAGGCAACGCCAAAGGCACAAGCAACAGCAGCAGCAGCAACAACAACAACAAAAGCATTTGGCAAGCTGACAAATTTCTGCAGGCGCAACGCCCACCCACCGACGGAGTGTTGGGTGTCCTTTGGGCCAGTCTTTTGGGCAGCTGCACTTGTAGAGCATTTCCTGTTTTTTGCACGCTCGCAAACGCGCTCAACTGGATCCCCGCTGGTAGTCTATATGTTTGGGCGCTAGATTGCACCTTTTGTATAAGTGTATTTTACCCCTAAACTAACGCTAATAACGCTTTGGAAACAGGAAAAGCTGTAACCATATTGTCCTGTGTACTACGCTGCCGTGCGCGTTGCTTCTTGCTCCTTGTTCCAGGTGAACGAATCTCGCTTTGCGTCGGCTGCATAATTTGGTTTCCTGTCATGACGCGTGGCTCCTACCCAGCCCAGCCGACTACCATATGGCTGCTCGCCTCAGTGCATCTGCGGCTGCGCGTGCCTCGCTCAACGATCCGCGATCATATTTTCATAGCCATTTTCAATTTCCATACAGTTGCCACCCCCTAAAGCGGCTAGCGAAGCGCAACAACTTTGGCGTCGCAAAGGGTCGCCGGCAAGCTTGCCTCAGCTCTTAGCTGGAAAAGCAGATTACAATTTAGAGCAGGACGACCAGAAAGAGAAAGAGAATGGGAGAGCGAGAGGGAGGGAGCGAAAGAGGGAGTTTACAATGTGCTTCATGGGTTTCACTAAGAGGACTTGGTACTTGGTGGCATATTTAGGGCTTCCATCGAGGTGCCCAATTGTAATTAGTGCAACGAAAATTCCACAGATGGTCTGTACGTTACATTTCAAGGAATATATAGTATGTTGTATATGCTAAGAGATCCTTAGGGTCTGACAGCTAGATGGATTGGCATTTCTTGGCATTTTTTTCAATTTTTTCAACAAACAACAACAAATGCTTAATAGTCCCATACTCAAGAGGCCATATAAAAAAGGGGTTTCCATCTGTCAAATAAGCTGCGATATGTTATTTCCTTTGAACGAGTCAAATGTTTTCGAAAATGTTGAAGCACTTTTAAGCAGCTCCACGCAGGGGCAGAAAAAATAAATCAAATACAAAAATGTTAATTGAATAAATCATATTTTTCGCCTGCTAAGCTCATTTGCAGCGACAGTTGAGCAGAGCAGGAAATAAAAGTTTCTCTTAATTTTGCTCTCTTTCTTTTTTCGGCACTTTACGTCCTTATTAATTATCCAAGTCTCGTGCTGAAAGAGTAAGGACAGCAAGCCAGGAGAGTCTAATATGTATACAAATATATATTCTTGAATTATAGAGATGCTACATAAAAAATAAATATTCACTAATAATTATAATTTTTTATATTTAATACAATATTTTAATGTTTCATTATTAAATGACTACCGTAACTGTATTATATTCATTTAATATAACAATGTCACAACTCTTTAAACTTAACAAAAGTTTCGTCTGCCTTATATTTTAGAGCTACAAATGCCGACAAATCATAGAAATACACATAGACTTTTTATAGTCAACAACCCAATTACGACTGGCTTTTCCATTAATATTTATTAAAAGCTTACAACGATATTTTCCATCGTACATAGAACGAAGCTATATATAACAGTCTATACATATATGTCTATATATACATGGCTCATATATTTTTTTAATTTAACTTTGAACTCGAGCTAGAGTGAAATCGTAAATTTTCAAACATATCCTGACCTTTGATATACCAAAAAACCCAACGCCCAAATAGGAATGCTTTAATGTATTGCCAGCGAGTAACCCCACCCACTATTAGCGGCCTGCCCCGCTTGCCGCCCGTTACCTCTTCCGTTTGCCACATCTACTGCTGCTGCTGCTGCTGCTACGGCTGCTAGCAATCAACAATGCCACAATCCAACGACTGTTGCTGCTACACCTCGCCCCTGCCACCCCACTAACCTATCGACCCTCCTACCAACCACCCCCCCTCTCATCACCCACTCTTCGCGCCGCTCTGCTCTGCTGTGCGCCACTCTCTTCGGTCGCCCGTCATTTTTGGCAATTTGTTCAAAATCAAAGTTCAGCAACAAATGCAATGCAACAGCAAGAGCAATTAACTCGGCACAACTGCCACATACGAAAGGAGACGCTGTTGCAAAAATCCACCCCCAAAAATATATTTTTGTTCAATAACAAAAAAGGAGCCATGAGCCAATTCCACAATTCAGGTACGAGCCGTGCCGAAGACAGAGAGACAGAGAGACAGAGCCACGGAGCGTGAGCGAGAGAGAGAGGGACGACGCAACAATTGGAGGAAAAAGGCGAAGTGGAACGAAATGGTAAAATGGAACACATTTCCTTATTGCTGGAGCCCCATACACGTTCAGACATGATCAATAATTAATTATTCCAAAAATTACAATTAATTTTCATTTTTTATTTATTTTCTTTTAATTCAAATAGTATTAAAATAATTTTAATTAAATGTATAAAGTTGCAAACATTTGAAGGCCCTTCCCCTTTGGTACGTGTGCAGCTGCCCTAAAAGACACGCAACAGCTACGCCAGCGACGTTGTTGCATTTCGCGCTGTGTGTGTTTTTTTGTTGCTTTTTGTGGTTGTTGTTTGGGGGTTGTTTAGGGGCTGTTCCATGGCTATGCCAGGACGTTCCGTTTCGCTACGCTCTCTTCGTTTCGATTTCGTTCGGCAACCCTTATAAGCAACGTTTCGTTCAGTTCTATTCTCATAAGCATTCAAGAGTTGCTTACGTTCGGTTCGTTCGCATTTCTTCTCTATCTTATATAATATTATATTTTCTCCTAAATCAATTTTTTCACTCTACCAACAACAATAATAATTACAACAACAACTCGACTCAACTTTTCACAACAACCAACAAATAACAACAACAACTCGTGTCAACTAATCTAAACTTTTACAACTTTTAACGTCTATACTTTCTCTGTTTTATAAAAACTATGAACTACAATTACAACTAAAACCTATAAACAAATATCAAAATTTAGTTTTGTTCGGCAACAACAATAATATTTTGCTTCGAAAATTGTTTAACAAAACATAAATAAATCAACAAGCAATAACAGCAACAACAACAACTTACTGAAAAGCCAAAGGATATCTGTATATTATATATGGAGCAATACAATTACCCATGTAAACCCCTAGCAGTTGACCGAACCGTTATGTTTTAAGACCCCCTCTCCCTCGTTGTGTAAAAAAAAAAAAAAAAACGTAAACGTAAACGTAAACGCAAATGTAAAAATCGATAAACCACACGCAGCCAACGCAAACGCAAAGCCCCAAAAAAAGAAGAAATAACACACACAAAAACCCGAAAACTTGACCAAAAAAGAAAAAGTTGAGAACTATAAACTCTCTGCCGTTCGGAGAGCTTCAAATAAAAGCGCAGAAATGTGTAAAGTGGCTGTGAAATTCGAAGTATCCTAACCAAAAACCAGAAACCGAATCGAAGACCCCAAACTGAACCGCAAACCAATTTATCAACAACATTTATGTATATATGGACCTACATATGTGAAACAATAAAAAGCAATATAAAATATTGAAATATGATTTAATAAAGGAGACCCAAAGAGATAGAGAGAGAGAGAGAAGGAAAGGGAGGCGCAACTATGCGAAACTCTATTTAAGACAGCTGTAAACTGTAAAAACAAACTCTATTCATTTCGGCGAGCCAATCTATATAAATATATATATTTTTCACATGCGAAATAGGAACAGCAACAATTTTCCTTTCCGCTTTTGCCACCAAAACCAAATACCCACTACGAAGGTCTTTGCTCGTACGAAACAAAACACTCGCTTCAGCACTTAACACTAAACTTGCCTCTAAATCTAAAAGGAAAAACACCAAAAGCAACGCTCAATCACTCAATCAACTCAACTCAACTCGACTCAATCAATCAACTCAACTCAACTCAACTAAATTTTACTCAAAATGCCGCGCTGCCTAATTGCCAAGAAATGGAAGGCATATCCTTGGCTGGATCGCAACAGCGAGGATAATGCCAACAACACACCAACAGCAACAACTCCACGGGAGGAGCAACTATCCCCATTGCCCAATCTGAAGTCGCGTCGCTCCACCATGGACGATGACGAAGAGATCGATGTTGTGGGCGACAAGCTATTGACCAAATCCGACAAGCAACGCACAACAGCAACAGCAACCGCCACAGCAGCAACAGAAGCAACAAACAACAGCAACAACAGCACAACAGCAACAGCCACATCAACAACTACTGCAACAACTACGGCCAAGTGCTGGGGCCCCAGCTCCCCAACGGCGGGCACCACAGCTCCAAGTCCGCCGCCCCATTCGCCGGAGGCAGCGACACGTGGCGCAACCAATGTCTACAACGGTAAGTGATGAAAGGCATTTCAAATATGATTTAAGATGTAATTGAATAGTTGTTAGTTGATATAGTTGATATATTAAATATAGACTGTATTTTTGAAACATATCACACATATTAAAATTATTAAAATAATATATAGAAATCTGGGCTTCATTCATAATCTAAACTAATGAGCTGATGAGAAATGATGAGATATATATATTTTGCATAGATATTAAATGAATATAATAAGTGTGTTAAGAACATCTAGTAAATCAATTTAAGTCAAAATAACCCATATACAATTTTCAGAGATTTTTAAAAATGTTTAAATGTTATCAATCTGCCCTTACATTACCTCAAGAGTCTTAAACTTAATTAATTAATTAAACAATTTTAATGTTTTTTTTTTTATAAGAATTTTCTATAACCAAACTGTATCCTTTACTTACATTCTTTCACCTTTAATCTACTACCATCTATCTTACAAATATCATATATATTTTAAATTTCCTTCAAATTCTGTACTTGAACGCCTAAACGTTTTCCAAAGAATTCAATAAAACTTTCTCTTTGGCACGTCCAACGTCCCTTTAAATATGCAACATTTGCTTGGCAGCTGCAACACGTTAAATCCAACTACCCCTTCTCCCTCTTTTACCATGACATATACGTATTTCCATGGCTGCTCCAAGCCCTTAGCGTATGCTACAATTATTTAACATCAGCATCAACATATTTCATCCAACTCAAGTTCTCACCTTATCTCGGCCTCTTCTCTCGCTCCCTTTGCAGGCTACACACGTGAGCTGTCGCCGCTGCATTACACCGCGTACCTGCCTCGCATGGAGAGCGAAATAACGGTCATACGGGCAGCAGCGACAGCGCTTGTGGCAGCAGCAGCCAACAGCAGCAGCAACCACTCAGGTGAGCAACAACAACAGCAGCAGCAGCAACAACAACATTTGGCTGCCTATCAAACGCCGCCATCGTCAACCACATCGTCGCCTTCGTGCTCGCCAAATGGCGATAGATTTAGTCCGGGCATGTTGCACATTAAGATGGAATCTGGCCAGACGAGCAGCGAGCGCAAGTGCTTCAGCAGCACAGGTGCCACACTGTCGCTGCCGCCAAAGAAGAAGGACATCTACAGGCCCTACTCGCTGGACGACAAGCCCACGCATGGCTATCGCCGGCGTGTGCCGGCCGAGGAGGATTTGCATGCAGCTCACGCCATACTCGATCTGAGTGCCTCGACAGCCTTTCATCCGCCCACGCAGCCACATCAGCTGCAGCAGCAGCAGCAGCAGCAGCCGCAGCAGCACCAGCAACAGCAGCAACATGAGCCACAGCAGCTGCAACTGCAGCACGAGCCACAGCAGCAACTGTTGCCGCTGGCACTGCCGCTGCAGCAGCAACACTTGCGCACCACATCAACAATTGCCGAGCTCGCTGCCGCAGCCAGCGTGGTGAATGAGCAGCGACCCTTGAGCAATGCTTCCAGTGCCAGCAGCAGCATACACAGCAGCACCAGCAGCAATCACAGCAGCAGCAGCAATGTGCAGAACGAGAACAGCAACACAACCAATCAGCTGCACAGCGGCCATGGCCTGGGCCTGGGCTTGGGATTGGGATTGGGACTGGACTGCCATGCCGAGCCAGACACAGACGCCGATGGCGATGCGACCGGTCAGGCAGCGAAAACCGTTGCCTACACCTACGAGGCCTTCTTTGTGAGCGACGGACGGTCGAAGCGCAAGCATGTGGCCGATCCAGCCGCCGTCGTTGTCCAGGATCAGCAGAAAACCAAGTACACCTGCTCCGAGTGTGGCAAGCAGTACGCCACCTCCAGCAATCTGTCGCGCCACAAGCAGACGCATCGCTCCCTCGACTCGCAGTCAGCTAAAAAGTGCCACACCTGCGGCAAGGCCTACGTCTCGATGCCCGCCCTGGCCATGCACGTGCTCACGCACAAGCTCTCCCACAGCTGCGGCGTTTGCGGCAAACTCTTCTCACGGCCGTGGCTGCTGCAGGGCCACCTGCGCTCCCACACGGGTGAGAAGCCCTACGGTTGTGCGCATTGCGGCAAAGCCTTTGCCGATCGCTCCAATCTGCGAGCTCACATGCAGACGCATTCGGTGGACAAGAATTTCGAGTGCAAGCGCTGCCATAAGACATTCGCATTGAAATCGTACCTAAACAAGCATCTGGAATCGGCCTGCCTCAAGGACGAGGAGGAGCTCATGATGGCCATGTCGTTGCATGGCCACACCGATAGCAACAGCGAGAGTGGCGCCAGCTTGGCCTCGCCTCCGCACGAGTTCCTCGAACGGGTCAAGGTGGAGGCACCTGTCGGAGTGGCAGGTGTTGGCATCACCTATGCCATCTAAATGTTGAGTAAGTGTGCCATTGCCAAAAAACAGAACAAACAAAAACAAAAGAACACAAAAACAACAAAACCAAAACAAAAACAAACAAACAAAAAACAAAGTAAAAGCAATGCCCTTGTTAATTGATCGTTAATGTTGAAAGTCAGTTATCGATAGCAGTTTTTATATATACAACTATATATATATATATAAAGAATACGATCACAATACGTCCAAAAGCAAGTGTAGTAGAGTAACACAGAGACTGTAGAAATTCGCATTAGAAAACCATTAAAAAAAAAAAAAAAAAAAAAAAAAAAAATAATGAAAGAAAAAGGATAACTAAATACACTTAGCGTAAACCTAATCTCGTTCTTCTTTTAGTCTTAAGCGAGTTGAACAAAAAAACAAAAACAAACATTCCTAGAACCCAAAAAAAAAAAAAAAAAAAAAAAAAATGAATTATAATAGAAAACTTAAGAAGAAGAAGCTGAACTTCTGATACCCATACACACACAGAAAGCCTTTTGCAGTAATTGCAAAAACTTAAAACCTGAGAACTTGAGCAATTCTATATCTATATATACATACATACATGCATATATACATATGTATATGTATATGTATATATATGTATCTCTCTCTATAACTATCTAAACAAAAATATATATAAACACACACACACATACATATATACAAATGGTGTACTATAACCTGTAGCTATCAAAAAACTTGTAGTCTTTAGCTCTACTCCCTAAACTCTAAACTCTAAAATCTAAAACTCTAAACTCTAAAACTCTATATCCTAACCAAAAATACCAAGAAAATTCTCTTTAATCTTTAATCGAAGACGAAGTGATTAAAACAAATTTAATGCAACGAATACGAAAAGCAAATGCAATGTTTCTCAAACAACGAATTAGATCCTAAGGGCAGTCTATCTATAAGCAGTATATAGTAGCGCCAGAGAGTAGACGATAAACAAAAACAAAATGAAAAAATACTTAAACTGAACCTAAAACAAAATTCAGCTCCACATTTTTCACATCATTTTATATAACTAAGTCACATAGCAACATTTAAGCACGTAAAGGAAGCATTTTAATTCAAAAACAAGTTTAATCAAAATGAGAACGCAAAGCAATATTACGATATACGATATATCGTATATTATAAAACATCAGCATATTATTGGCACATAAGAAAATTTCGGATTTTGTTTGAGTTTTCTTATGATTTTAAAGGCTAGAGTTACATGGGAAAATAGAAGAAGAAGAATCAGAGGGGTTAACTGAAAAAAAAATACAATGAGATTTGGGCAACTAATTTGCGTTTAGCCACATAGTCAATTAGCATTCCAGGCAATTCAAAACCAAATAATAATAATTATATATGTATATATTTATAAAGGGAATATAAAAAGATAGAACAAAAAATTTCTAGTCGCTGTCTAACAGCAAATTTTTTCTAATTTTTTACGAAGGCAAAGTTTCAATACATTTCCGCTTAAATACCAGTTTTTAGTTTTAGAGCATTGCATTCTGTTGTGGTCCAATTAACAGTACACTGAATTCGCCAAAAGAGAAATATGATATGATCATAAAGGGAGTTTTATCATCAATGACAGAAAATAAAAGAAAAGTTGAAGATTTCGTACAGCTCGAATCTAAAAACTTCTTCTGACCGTTCCATAAAATCCTGTCGGTATCATACACCACCTCTAAAGGGCGCCCTAAGAAATTTCCAGTGTTTCTATTAGTGACCAAAACAAGAAACGATAAGACCAAACATGATTTGCTGTAGCCTATATATACCCATATAGTTACTCAAATCCGTATTCGATCGCCCCTCACAGAACGAGAGAAAACAAAAACAAGAACAACAAAAAGCCAGATGAAGAAAATCTATATGAATATCGAGTGTGATCTAGTCTCAAGCATTTAACAGTACACTTCGTCCATGCGTAAAGAAAAACAACAAACAATGAAAGAAACAAAGAAAATACTTTTGCACTCTTCGAAATACAACTTACCTAGTACGATATTACTTACATCTATATTTATATTATGTAGCTCATATGTTCATTTATACGCAATTACACCCCAGCACAAAAGCAAAAATATGTAAATAGTATTTAAACCTAATCTACCATATAGACATCTATAATATATCACTCAACTGAAATCAGCTTCAGCGACCGATCTCAAAAAACAACAACAACAAAAGTGCAACGAACTTTGTCGTAGAGTACTTAGTCTAAAGAGTAGCAAAAAGTTTTGATCGAAACTCAGTCAAAAACCAAATGAAAACCAAAACAAAAACGAAACCCAGTTGTTGGTATGTCTAAGTGAGCGAAAAGGAATCTATATATACATACATATATATAGTTATATACAAACATTAGAACATACGTATGTAGTTGCGTAATATTTACAATTATATATACACATGCATAAAATATATACATAAATATTTTAGACCTAGTATACATGTACGCCTAAGTTAACCTAGTAAGTATAATCATCACAAAATTATTTTTATACTGTTAACAACGTAGGCGCTAAGAAGAGTTTCCCCATGTCCCCATGCGGAACACTTTTATGCAATAATCGATAACGATGACGATATCGATATCGAAATCGGCTAAAGTACCAAAGCAATACTCAACAACAACAAAATCAAAGAAAAACAAAAAAGGCGAACAACAAATATTCAATGATAACTAAAAGGCAAAATGCAAAATGCATCAAAGTTAAACAAACAGCGAGATGCTACTTAATAGCCATAGTTATCAAGAATTACACTGGCCAACACAAAACTTGTTGAAGTGCAGTAACCAAGAAGCAAGAGCATGAAATGGGATCTTGCAGATTTTTACTTTTAAATATGAAAACAACAAACTATAAGATTTATAATATTCCTGCTTAAATATATGCAACGAAAAAAATACAATTTTTATTAAATATATATTTATTGTTTCTGAGACTTCTACATTCCATCCAAGATTCCTATTCAGCGCTTTGAAAAAGCATAGTCAAATATTTTTTATGGTTACTGAAAACCTTGCTGGCCAGTGTTGATTTTATTTGAATATTTGGTATTTGTTTTAATTATTGATTTTTTTGTTTTTAATTTTATTTGTACGCTTAAAGTTAAATTAAGATTTACAAAAGGCGAAACATGTTTAATTAAAGCCCGGCAATAATATTACAATTTTGTATAACAATGTAAACAGCAACAAAAATGGAAAAAAAGAAAACAAAAACAACTTAAATGCATAATTAATTATGTGAATGAAAGCAATAAAATTAACGGTTAATCAATTTATTAGAGTTTAAGTAAATCTAAGGTTGAAACTATTTAAAATTAGCGAAGACAGCACACTTGTATTTAAACAAAACAAAACAAAAACAATTATAATGTTTTAAATATACAATACATATACATATATATGTATACATAAATACTTACACAATACAACAAAAAACAAAACAAAAATGGTTTTTTATTTTTATTTTCTTTGAATATTTTCTTTTATGATTTTCCAACTGGACTCTTTGCTTAACTCAAGCTGAAAAAGTGTTCTTAAATATATATAGATACCCTGTGGCAATTATTTGTGTTGAGAGCAGGTCAATAGGCAAAGCAATTCGAATGTTGTGATATTCCCACACACACGAACACCAACACACACATACACACACACACACACTAATTCAAAAAGCTGATTAATTTTGCTCAACAAATATATGAGCTCCAGGAAGAGAAAAACAAAACAAAACAACAAAAAATACTACATAACGTGTATCGAGAAGCAATAAAAGGTAGTTGTAAAAATATATTATATATACATATAAATTGAGTGGGGGAATAACCCTAATGCATATTTTGAAATTTTGAAATTTTTAATATAACCAAATGCAACACGTAGTACATTAGCATATATACATATATATATATATATATATATATATATATATACAACTATATAGATGAGATATATATCATATGTATATATATATGATATTTGGAAAAGCTTTACTCCAACTAAATCGGCGGTTACATTTTTGTTTTCAAAAATTGTGCCCGTTCATATGGTTTTCAATTTTGGGTTTAATCGATTTTGAACCACACACACACGCACATGTTATAGGTTTTCTTTTACAAATAAGGATCAAGGCATATATTGTTAAATGAGTAAAATAAAAAGCAAATAAATTGTTAAAGTTGATTACATTTATATATATATGAAAATAGTTTTTGTATACCAGCGCAACTTTACAAATTTTGAAAAGCAAAAAAAAATTGTTGAATGCAGTATTTTGGTTAGCATTAGCATTCATGATTCATTCTTTTCCATTATCTGTTGCAATACTCTACTGTCTCTCTCTGTCTCTGTCTCTTTCTATATATCTTTTTCTAACATTGTTGTTCTTTTTTAACGAGCGCTCGTTAGGTCAGCGCCAAATGAAGGAAAAACTCATAAAAAGTAACAATGGAAAAAAAAGAAAGAACTCTTAAAGCACAGACCCCTCCTCCATTTTTCCTCCCGGTTAAAATTGTTTACAAAATTTTAATTTGCTGGCTTTTGTATATAGAACATTATTATCATTAGTATTTTATCATTTTTAAAGCTAACAACGTAGTAAAAACTTTGTATAAATTAAATTATGAACAGCAACAACAAAGCAATGTTTAAACAAAAAAAAAAAGAACTTAGCACGTTAACACAAATAGTTTTCAAAAGAAAATGAAAAAATATAAAATAAAAGATAAAAATGAAAACACCAAAAAAAAACTAATAAAAACAACAAACAAACCAAATAAAAGACTTAATACTTCGATATATGATTAAAGAAAACAACTTATTTACAAACATATTGTATATGGTAAACAAGAAAGAGAGCAACAACAACAACGAAGAGCAACAGCAATAATAAACTAAAGCAAACAATGAACAATGAACAATGAGCAATGAGCAATAGAGCATTACGTATTAAGGCAAAACCGAAAACAAGTATTATTAGCGCATGTATCAATGAGATAAGCAATGGGAAATCGTTAAACTAATGCATTAAGTCAAGCGAAAACCGACAAATTATTAATGAAATACTAATATACATACTCGAAAGCATGCATATAGAGCTGTATATATACATACATATATATATATACACACTAATATATATGAGAACAAAATTTAGCTTTTAGTTTACCAAGAAAATAAATACCTAAATGAAATAAGCTCGTAGCAATTTTTGAATGTAGCTGCAAAATGAATTGATTAACAATTATTAGTTACCAATATACATATATATTGATATATGATTTATTTTCTTGGCATATTTGTTATTGCAACATTTTGTGCTGCTGCTTTTGACGAGACCAATTGATGTACTTTATACAACGAACAAATATGAATGAAAAAAAAAAAAAAAGAGAAAAACAACTCAAATTATGTTTATTTTTATTGCATAAATAAAAGGTGCATAAAGAAGCAATACTTACACAGACACACACACACTCACATGAAACATAGTTGAAGTAGCGTAGAAATAAATAATTTTTAACTTAGTGCACACACACAAACAAACACACACACACATACACACCAAGCGTAGCCATTGTAGAGAAAAGTAGAGTTTGCAAATTAATTATTATTAACAAGAAGCAGAGGCAACAAAAATATACAGCTACATTTATAAGTAACTAAGCACCTTAGTGAGCCAGCAAGAATTCTGTACCTAGAACTTACAAAAGAAACACACGAAAATAGATATAAAAACAAGCTAAGTACACTGCAGTCGTAGTATAGCCGACTGCCTAATACTCGTTCACGTTTCAGAATTTAAAAAAAAAGTTAAAGTATTGTAATTGGTAAAGATCTGATTTTTCCTATATTTACATGATATTGAGCTATAGCTGATATAGATGAGTGTATATTGAAAGTCCCTAACTAATGGTGAAATGTTTTGCATTCATAGAGAAGGACGAACAGATGAGACTGCTTTGTATGAAGCTAATATACTCTCTTTTCATATTGTGAACGAGTATTAATAACAAGATATATAAACGCAGACACAAACACACTCGCGGACTTATATACATACAGACATATACACTCACACACACACACATATATATATATACATACTTATGTATATTTATTGCATTGCATATTGATGAGAAACCAAACTAATATTATATACATAAACGCAACTACTATGATGATGATGATTATTATTATTATTATTATTATTATTATTATTATTATTATTATTATTATTATTATTATTATTATTATTATTATTATACAAATGAAAGACAGAGAGCGAAAGAAAGAAGCGAGAGCAAGAGCGAGAGCTAAAAAGTAAATGCGTTTATTATGCAATGATTTATATACATATACATACATATATATATACACATTAGTACATTATACATTTTATAAAGATTATGGCATTATGTATATGACATTCATGTACATACATTAATATACGCACATACCTACACACACACTCACACCTACATACAATAAATCAATTATTATGCAGCTGTTTTACTTTGCTGGCAGCTGCCTTCGAAAAGTCAATTTGCAAAATATTTAAAAGCAAAAAGTCAATTTCTAAATTACAAAACAAAACAAAAATATAAAGAATTTACGCAATTATTAAAGTAACTAACATAAAATGCAAGAAAATTGTCTTCAGTTCGATGCGTGGTTTCCATTTGAGTTACAAGTACAGCGGCTATATAAAAACTATATACATACATATATATAAATATATATATATACATATTGTACTTGAACCAAATTGATTTATATATATACATATATATACATTATTATTATTATTATTATTATTATTATTATAATACAGCATTATAGCGGCGTATATATGCACACATACAGCAACAAGTACACACATTCACACACATATATATATATATATAAACATAATAATACAAATTGAAAATAAAAGGCGAAAGGCAAAGTTAAATGCATAGTTACTAAAAAACAACAACAAAAAATACTTAAAAAACAAGAAGAAGAAGATGATGGAGATGATGGAGAAAAAGCCAAGCATTCTGTAAAACATAAACGTACATAAGTATATTATATTATATTTTCATAACACATGACAAATTTATACATGAGAAAAGAAAATGAAGAACAAGTAAATAAATGAAAATGCGAACTTGCGTAGTAAATGAGAAAAATATAAAAACCAAAAAATATGAAAAAAAAAAAAATCGAACAAAACATAGTGAATAAAAATATGAAAAAAATCTGAAAAAATGTATAAAAAAAAAAAACAAACAAAATACTTGCAAAGCGCGTTTTATTTCTGTGCATTTGGCGTAGAGGGGGGAAATGTGGCAAAGGATGGAATGCTGGCAGCCAAGGATAATGACAGGATTTGCAGTTGGGCTTTAGCAAATAGCTTACTTCAATAAGCAGCTGTCAATGGCGACGATGGACTCCAATCGATAGCAAGCAATTGCAAGTGCTGCTCAAAGCGATGCTCAAACGAATTATTAAGAAGAATTTTGAAATTGATTGCACTGATTGGCAGCTTGCAGCTTTGGGCGAGTCTGAGCATAACTGGGGTATATTTGAGCTGACTGCCATTCTGTACATACAGAGCTGTATAAACAAATATGTGAGCTTAAACTAAACTTTGCTGCTTTGCTTGCTTCTCTCTTAATCTCATTTCATTGAAGTTATATTCGGAAATTTAAAGTCGCCAGCAGTTAAAACCCTAAAAAGTGTGAAAAAAGATGATTAAAATTAAATTAAGTTGCTCCGAATATGCATTGTACTTCTGCTGAATCGAGATTCATATTTGTGACTGAATCTAAGTTACGAAATAAGTATAGATCGAGCTAGAATCTGAGCTTGAAATGCACATGGAGAAACCAATAAATAAAATAGAGTTATTCATCGATATCGTATATGTATATGTATAATATGTATATTAGCAGTTCCTTATACTGCATAAACATTCTTCTCTTACCAATTTGAATGCTTTCCAGGCTAAAGGTGATAAATGTATTAAAAAGTGACTCAAACGACAAACAACAGCAAAAAATATCCAAGCCATCGGCTTATATTGAAAATCTGCCGGCTTAGCTGCAAAAAATAAACCCATTATAAAGTAGTCATAGCTGGAGGCTGCCAAAAATGTGCTCCCCTTCCCGAGCGTCTTCAGCCGTCATCCTTGTTGTTGTCCTTGTTGCTGTCC